ACTTGCAATTCCATACTTAGCTTCTGAAATATTATTTATTATCCTCCAGGTTTAGCTATACTAGCCCTGTAGTTTTTCATATGTGTAGTGATTTTTCCCACCTCAGGGCTTTTGCACGTGCTATAGCCCCTGTCCTAAATGTTCATCCTCATTTCCTGTCTCTTGGCTTAGTAAACTTTTTCTCACCATCGAATCTCAGTTCAACCATCAATTCTTCAGAGAAACTTTCTGTGATCTACCTTCCCAAGTCAATTCTTCCATTGTATACTCCACATGCTTCTTCTTCTTTTTTTTTTTTTCACATACTTCTTAACAGCACTGTTGTAATTTGACCTGTATGCTCTGCTCTAGATCATGTTTGGTTAATGTTTTTCTTTTCTTTTAGATTATGAGCTCCATGTGGGTTTTTAAAAAAATTTATTTATTATGTCCCACAATTTGGAACTGACTCAATATCAACTAAAACCAACAATGTATCTGGCACATGTTTATCACAGAATAATAGTTTACTCAATATTATGAATAAATGGACTATAAGATTTAGAGATGAGAAGTCAAACAATAAACTTAGATGCCTAAGGAAATACTCCATTGCTCTTCAGCAGTCTGGAAGGGTCCCTGATAGCAGACTTTCCTAAAGCAACTCATCTTTTGATTTCCTGACCACTAGTGCCAAGAGTGTTGATTGTGGAACCAAGCAAGCTGAAGTTGTTAACAATTTCAGTCTCTTCTCCATCTATCACAATGCTGCCAGTTGCTCTGTTGGTTAAAATCTTTGTTTTCTTGATGTTGAGCTTCTATTCATATCTCACACTACAGTCTTTGATCTTCTTCAGCAGATGTTCAGTCCCTCCTCAATTTCAGCTAGCAAGGTGCAGGTTTGTTGATGAGTCTTCCAATCCTGATGCCATATTCCTCCTCATAAAGTCCAGCTTCTCAAATGATTTGTTCTGCATACAGATTGAGAAGATATGAGGCAGGGCACATCCATGACACACTCCTTTTCTGATTTTGAACCATGCAGTGTTTCTTTGCTCTGTTCTGACAACTGCTTCTTGGTCCAAGTATAGGTTTCACATGAACACAATCAGATGTTCTGGGATTGCCATTTTTCTCAAGGTTAACTACAATTTGTTGTGATCTACACAGTCAAATGCCTTTGCATAGTCAATGAAACACAGATAGACATTCCTGTAGTACTCTCTGCTTGAAATATCTGACATCTGACAATGATGTCCCTAGTGCCATGGCCTTTTCTAAACCCAGCTTAAACTTCTGGTAGTTCTCTGTCAATATACTGTTCCAGTTGCTTTTGGATAATATTCATCAGGATCTTCAGCTTATGTGTAATGTTAGAGATATTGTTCAACAATCTCCACACTCAGTTGGGTCACCTTTTTATTTGGAATGGGAATAAATATAGGTCTCTTTTAGTCAGTTGGCAAGGTAGTTGTCTTCCAGACGTGCTGGTGAGTACTTCCAGGGCTGCATCTGTTTGCTGAAATATGTTGATTGGCATTCCATTAATCCCTGGTGCCTTGTTTTGTTTTCCCCCCTAATTCCTTCAGAGCAGCTTGAACTTCCTACCTCATCACCATTGCCTATTAGTCCTGCCAATTATGGCTTTCCCCCACCATCTAACCCAGTCGTCTAACAAACTAGGGCAAAGGCTCTCAGCTGCTCTAGTTCTGTCTGGGGTAGAAGTCCCAAGGTCAGCTCCATCTCTTGTAGGGTCTCTGGTTCTTTGCTGTGGCTTCTATGGCTGCTGGTCCCATAGGTCCTGTCTCTGGCCCAGATGCACTGTATCCTCTTGCTGCTTCTTTGATGGTGGTAAGGTTTGCCAAATCTGCTGCTGGATCTGCTCAATTTGATGGCAAAACTATCCAATCCCCCTGTAGTAGGCCAACACACCTTATTCGCATATTCTCCCCCATCCACATGGCAAAGTCACTCAATAGCCAAGGAAGCCATTTTGAACTATAAACCCTTAACATCACATCAGCGGTAAAACATAGAGGACCAGAAAGAACAAGAATAATTCACTAATTTGGCCATGAAAGCCAAATTCCAAACTAGCACCTGAAATTAAAACTGAGACAAACCTGACTTACTCTGAGAAATTCTAAAAAAATCCCACAAGCAAACAAAGACCCCATCAAAAACTGAAACTGACACAAAACGGGCTCAAGTCCTTATCATTTCCCACTTGGAAATCTGCTGTAACTATTGAAACTTATCATCCTACTGCCAAAGTCAATTCCTTCCAATAAAGTCTTCACATCGTTGTCAAATTTGACTATTCCATAACACATCTTATTCCATTCTGTTTCTTAAAACTGTAACTGATCCAGGCTGTGACTGTCACATTTATTTGCTATGCCTCAGAGAGGTGGATAATGACAAGGATGACAGAAGAATTGAAGCCTTTAAGTGGTGGTGCTAGAGATGAGTTTTGAACTAACAAGAGAACTAACAGGTTTGTTCTGGAGAGGGTGAAACCAAACTGCTCCTTATAGGTAAGGATTCTGAGACTCTGTCTCACATACTTGGGGCGTGTAGAGAAAGATATCACACTTGGTAGGGTGGAGGGACAGCACAGGAGAAAAAGACCCTCGATGATATTGATTGACACAATAACTGGGGTAGGTGTTTCAGAGACAGTGGGATTGGCTCAGGATAGAGAGAGTTCAGAGATATTTTGCATAGGGTCACTGTGAGTCGTAGTCAACTCCAGGGTACATAACAACAACAACAACCTAAAACCATGAGGCTGAAAGCTGAGGTGCTGTGAGCACATGTCAGCGGTTGTCCTGTGTGATCATATTCTACTAATGATCTAGAGGATAGATTTCCTGCTTCCTATTACAATGGATTTTGGACCTGTGTTGAGATGAGTAGAAAAAAGTGTGGGGAATATGTTTCACCTCATGGGAAGTGGTTTTGTATTGTTGATGGGGACAGTTCCCCTCTGTGGAGTTGAAAGAAGTCAGATTCATATCTTAGACCTTGCTCTTTTTATACGTGATATTTTATTTCACATTCTCCTGTTTTTGTTGATTTTTAAAAAAATCACTTTACTATAATTTTCATAGAGCTTTGGGAGGAAGAAAAATTCGATATATGTGCTTAATACATGACTTTAAATTAAAACTTCAACAATTTTGTTTTATTTTGAAAATTTAGTCACTATTTTGTGGCAATAAAATCACCTTCATTTTGGTCAAGGTTTTTAAGTGGCCCATAGGATGAAAGAGTGAAATAACAAAATTCCTGGAAAGCAGTATTTCTAAAAAGTCTTAAAAAATGTACATTCTTCTGAAACCAGAAATTCTACCTCTAGAAATTTATTCTTTGGAAAAAAGTTTTGCTTGAAGGATGTTCATTATTGTCATCGTTAGGTGCCCACAAGTCAATTCTTACAGCAACCTTATGATCAAGTAGAACTTTCCATCAAACATACGGAAACCTTACTTGATCCTGTGTCATCCTTACAATCTCTACTGTTTTAAGCCCTCTGTCACAATCGCTGGTTTATTAATAACAATGAAAAATTGCAATAATGATTTGTAATTTCTAAGTGATAATAATAAAATATTGCCCAACTGAGAGCTGAATGAAGCATACCTTCATATGTCAGCTATGGACTTATGAAAAATTACGTTGTAGAACTAAGCCAAGGAGAATGTGAAGCCATAGGATAAATTTAGCTCATCATTCTCCTGCACCAAATTTATCAGTGGTTTGGGAATGTGTTGTTGGCTCTGCCTTATGGCGATACCGTCTGTTGCGGGATAAAACATACAGTTTTCTTCATGGAAGTAGGCACTCGTAGTGGGTGAGTTCCAATCTGAAACCTTTCTGTTGGCAGCAGAGCACAAACCATCTGTACAATCCAGCTACTTACCTCTGGCAGAGGCTACTAGTTTGTCTATTCCAATCTTCACTCTCCCTTCTCCTCTGGCAACAAAATAGATTTGTTACTCCTCAGAATGTTACTTTGAAGAACAAAGACTACATTTTCCTATCTCTACTATAGCTAGATGTGGTTTTAGTGTTAACTTCAAATCAAGGTCAGCGCAAGCGTGAGAGACATCCAGGAAAATTACTTTGATGGAGCTGACTCAGCGAGGAATGAAAGGGGATAGGATTTAGTTCTCTTTCCTTGTATTTCTTTACGTGTTGGTGCCGCAGAAATTAAAGTGAAAAAGAATACAAAGAAACGTTTAAATATTTCACTCTCATTTGAGAAGTGTTAGAAAGAGGAAAGACAAAGGACGTGATTGGAGAACAGTTCATTAATTTTTGTGAGAATCTTGAATGTTTATTTTCTATCATCGTTAACTCCAATTAAGGCTGATAACAATAAAAGTGCTTGTGGTAGAGTCTCTCGTTTAAGTTTTTACAGTACTTGCGTACAAGTGTGTGATCATTTCACTCTGTTGAACCTAAAATGCTGACCAATTCCCTTCCCTAAAATTTGGAATCTGCAGAGCTTTGTGATTTAAAATCGGTGCATGTGGGCAGCAAAAGGCAGCTTGCTGAAAATGCAAACAGGCCAAATGTCCATCAGCAGATGAATGGACTGAGAAATTCTGGTACGTTCACATGATGGAATACTAGGCAACACCCAGTAACAACAATTTAGAAAAATACTACATAACATGGGAGAGGCTGGAGAGTGAACGAATTCGGTCTCCTAGGGAGAAATACTGAATAAGACCACTATTGTAAAAATAAAAGGATTTCTAGTAAAAAACAAAACAAAATAAAAGACATTTTGTCTTAATCTTGGACAGAGTTGGGCCCAATTTAAAATCTAACAGAAAATCCTTGACCATTGCAAAGTACCGCCAAAGCTCCTTAAGTACCAAACTCAGGGGGTAGGGGCGGTGCAAGAGGCGGCCCCGTCCCTCTGCGCGGCCAATCACATGGGATGAGAGCTGGAGGGGCGTGGCGGGTGAGATCGTTTTGACATTCTGCATTTGAGAACTCCTGGCGTATGCGGACTTGCAAAGTTTGTCCGCTCTGGCGCACCGTAGTGCTTTCACCCAGGCCAAGTGGGCTGAGCTGGGCGGCTGGATCTCAGCTCAGCCCAGCAAAGGACCCTGATGGCTGCGGTCTTTCTGGTGACGCTCTATGAGTACTCCCCTCTCTTCTACATCGCGGTGGTCTTTACCTGCTTCATCGTGACCACGGGCCTGGTCCTGGGATGGTAAGTGCCCAGGGCTGGAGGGGCCAAGGGCGAAGGGGCAGATATGATAGTAGGGAAGAGTCGGGGTGAGCTCTCGGGAGCACTGGAGTTGGGGTGGGGGTGGGAGACTGGGGCCGGGAGAGCTGGCACCGACGGCTCCGACTGGCTCTCGGAAGAAAACAAGGTAGCTACGTCACCTGCGTCACTGCTCTGCACCTCTGTCTGCTCCCGGTTCTGCAGACATTTGGGGTGGTGCTGGATTGTACTAGCTTTTCGCCGCAAGTAATATAGCAGCCAAGAAGAGATTGGGGTACAATGATTATCTAAGAGGCCCCTGTGCCTTCTTGTCGCCTACAGTGGTACGCAGCACGTTTGTTGAATCTGTCACCTGCGGTACTGTCCATAGACGCGCTCCTGGTCTTTGAGAGCGGATGGTAACAGGGTTGATTGTTATGCTTTGGCTGAACCCTTGCGCATTCACTTCAGATCTTTCAGTGCCATGAATAACCGAACTCCCTTACCACATGAGAGCTTAATTTCCACATGCATTTTATAGGAGCTGCGGGAGCTCCGGTGGCCTATTGGTTAAGAGCTGTGCTGCCAACCCAAAGGCATGAGGTCCGAATCCACCAGCTGCTCTGCTGGAGACAGGCAGACAATCTCCTCTCCTGCGATGGACAGCCTCTGAAAAACCAACTGAAGGGTCAGTTAGGAGTGGTTTCCGACTTGATGGCACATAATAGCATTAACAACACACGTTTTGAAGTAGAATTTAGTTGATAGAACTATAGAGCCATAATTTTAGAGCTGAAAGAAACCTTCGAGATTACTTACTTACCTGTTTGAGTCAAGGAGAATAAATAGATTGTTAGTTAGAGATTCTAAAATTTCCCTCTTCAGGAGTGCCATTGTATCATGTTTAGACAAGCCTTATTTGGCTATTTGGGACTGTTTTACTAGAACAGAGCAGTTTTTGCCCTAAATTGCAGCCATTAAAGTCCCTTTGAGACATTTGGTGATTTCAAATGGATCAAATAGTGCTTTTTAAAAGATAGGTAGACGCTGTGACCTGGGAGGCTATTGCTTAGCTTAGGGGAGTGAAAGTAGCTTAGGTTTGAAGAATGGGTATTTGGTAAAGAAAGAGAATTGATTGAAAAGGAACTTGAAGAGAACACAGCATGAACAAAAGTCTAGAAAAGAACATACCAGTAAACACGGCAGACTATAAAAGAAGTTAAAAACTTGTGTATTTACATTAAAGAAAAGACATAGGCCCATATCAGTTCCTAAAAATAGAAGCCAACACTAGCAATGAACCAGAATTTGAAAATTTCCACACAGCTCCCAAACAGTAAATGAGCTTAAAATTCCTTGTTTGGAGTAAGGGAGAAAGTAAGAACAGTCTAATGCAATTTGTTAACCTTAATCTATCAGGCTTTATTTCTACTACTCTTTTGAAGAAAGTTTGTGATTGGAATTAGGAAGATATTAGCCAAGAGAGAAAGGAATGCTGAACACAGACTTTCTTAATGACAGTATGTTAGTGTTAGTCTCTAAAGAAATGTAATTTTCTTAGCTCTGGTGGCCTATTGCTAAGAAGCTGCATGGCAGTCCCAAAGGTGTGCAGTTTGAATCCATCAGCTGAACTGTGGAAGAATGATGGGAATTTCCCTCCTGTGGGATTAATTGCCCCTAAAAACCCTTTGGAGGGTCAGCTATGACCAGTTCTGACTCAGCCGCACACAGCAGTTGATAATTGAGCTCTGGTGGTATAGTCTATAGGGAGTTAGACTGGGGCAAGCCTCTCTGACAGTTCAGATCCACCAGCCAGCTCCTTAGAAAGATGACTAATCTCCTTGTGCACTTCATAGCCTCAGAAGTCCAGTGGAGGGTCAGCTATGAGACACTTCCAACTCAACAGCAATGAGTGTGAGTTTTGAGTTGATAATTGTGTTATGTGCTTACATTTTTATTTTAAATGAGTTAACCAATTGTTGTTACATGCCTCGAGTTGCTTGTGACTCATAGCGACCCTATGTACAATAGCTCTGAACCCTGCTCTATCTTATGCCAACTTTACTGTCTCTGACACACCTACCCTCATTACCCTAGTCACTGAATCAATCCATCGCATAGAGAGTCTTCCTCTCTTGTGCTGTCCCCTCCACCCTCCCAAGCATGATGCCCCTCTCCAAGAACTGGTCTCCCCTTGCAACATGTCCAAAGTATGTCAGACAGAGCTTCAGAATCCTTGCCTTCAAGGAGCCACCCGGTTTAACCCTTTCCAGGATGAATCTATTTGTTCTCCTAGCAGTCCATGGTATAGTCAATACTCTTCTCCAGCACCACAGCTCAACGGCATAAATTCTCCTTCTATCACCCTTAGCCATTGTCCATCTTTCTGATGCATGGCAAGTAACTGCAAAGACTATCGCCTGGATCCGGCACACTTTAGTCTCCAGACTGACATTGTTGCTCTTTAGTGCTGTGGAAAGGCACCTGATAGCAGATTTTCCCAGTGCAATTCATCTTTTAATTTCCTGACTGCTGGTACTAAGAGTGCTGATTGTGGAGCCATGCAAACTAAAGCTGTTAGTAATCTTAATCTCTTCACCATCTCTCATGATGCTGCTAGTTGACCAGTGGTGAAAATCTTTGTTTTCTTCAAGTTGAGCTTCAATCCATAATGAAGGCTGCAGTCCTTGACCTTCTGCAGCAAGTGCTTCAGGTTCTCCTCAGTTTCAGCAAGCAGGGTTGTGTCATCTGCATAATGCAGATTGTTGATGAGTCTTCCTCCAATCCTGATGCCATTTTCTTCCTCTTAGAGCCCATCCTTCCAGATAATCTATTCTGCATAGAGATTGAAAGTTTTTTAGTGTTGAAAGGGTAAAAATAAGTGAAGGCTGTCAGGATAACAAAGGTGGCACCTCTGGTTGGAGAGTAGTCAGGAACTTCATGTTTACAGCGGGTTAGAGACAGACTTGGGTGTCAGACAGACCTAGTTCAAATCCTAGCTCTCTCAAGTTTACGACTTGGGTTGAAAATGTAATGATTGCCTAACCCCTCTATTTAGGTATGACTTTTACAAAGGTTGGAAGTTCAAGTAATTGTAGAACTCCCATTTTGGAAGTCTGGGCTATGTATTATTGAGGTCAAAGGATCATATAAAAGCTAGTCACTCCCATTTTTATTTAGGGATAATAAATCATCCTGAGACTAACCCAACCACCCTCTCTAGTTGGATTTAGCTATGTCTGTGTAACCTTTTCTACTAGTGTTACTAGACATTTTTAATACTATTTATTTATAAACTTAAATCAAACTCACAGATTCTACCAGAAACAAAGGAGTTTTGGACACCATTTACAAGTCATAAAAATATCTTTCTACTGGTGCACCCTAAAAAAAATAACCTGCATTATGCATATGATACAAGCTTGCTTGCTGAAAACGAGGAAGACAAGGAATGCAGCTTTTGGTATGGATCACATCTTAATATTAGGAAAACAGAGATTCTTACCACTGGACCAATAGACAGTGTCGTGTCATGATGGATAGAGAAGAGATTAAAACTGTCAACAGCTTCATCTTGCTGGATCCACAATTAACACTCTTGGTACCAGCAGTCAGGAAATAAGGAGGTGCATTGCACTGGGAAAATCTGCAGTTAGGGACTTCTCTAAATTATTGAGGAGTAATGATATCTAAAGCACTCAAGAGCAACAGTGTCTCTCTGGAGACTAAGGTGCGCCTGATACAGGCCATGGTCTTTGCCGTCACTTGTTATGCATCAGAGTGTTGGACAATGGCTAGGGAGGACAGAAGAAGAATTGAAGCCTTTGAGCTGTGGTGCTGGAGAAGAGTATTGAATGTATCATGGACTGCCAAGAAAACAGATTCATCCTGGAGCGGGTTAAACCAGGCTACTCCTTGGAGGCAAGGATTCTGGGGCTTCGTCTGACATACTTTGGGCATATTGCCAGGAGGGACAGGTCCTTGGAGAGGGACATCATGCTTGGGAGGGTGGAGGGACGACGCAAGAGGGGAAGACCCTCTATTAGATGGATTGATTCAGAAACTGGGGTAATCGGGATGGGTGTGTCAGAGGCAGTGCGATTGGCACAGGATAGAGCAAGGTTTAGGGCTGTTTTACATAGGGTTGCTATGAGTCACAAATGACTCGACGGCACATAACAACAACAACAATGATATCATTTTGAGGATAAAGCTATGTCTGATTCAGGCCATGGTCCTTCTGACTACTTGCTATTCATCTGAGAGCTGGACAATGAATAAGGATGACAGAAAAAGAATTGATGCCTTTGGGCTATGGTTTTGGAGAAGGGCACTGCCATGAGAACAAATAATTATGTCTTGGACAGGGTGTAGCCAGAATGCCCTTTGGAGGCAAGAATGATGAGGCTTTGCCTTGCATACTTTGAGCACGTTGTTAGAAGGGGCTATTCCTTGGAGATGGACATGATACTGGGAAGGGTTGAGGTTCAGTGAAGGAGAGGAAGACCTTCAGCCATGTGAATTGACACAATGACTGCTGCAGTGAGCTCTTGTGTGTCAGGAAGTGTGAGGATGGCACAGGATAGAATAGGGTTCAGATCCTTTGGTCAAAGGGTTGCTATGAGTTGAACTCGACTCGATGGCACCTAACAAAAACAACAACTGGTGCCCCAGATGAATGACAAACCACTTAATATATTATGCTTTTCACTCTTCTTTCTTTATATTTTCCATTAGCTCTTTTGAAATTTTATTCCTTTCGTAACCCTTGACTTAAAAGCTACAACACAAAATATTAGGAAGAACTTCTCTCTATGGGTGATCAACAGAGAATATGTGAGTTTACCTGGAAAAACAAGTAACAGTTTTCCAATATATATATTGTGAATTTGCTATCATCATATTTTCTATCCCTTTTAAGGTATATTTATAATTTAATATTTTAAATGTTAGTACAGCAGAAGAGAGTTTACAATATCATTATTTGCAAAGTATTAACTTTGCTT